TAGCTGGTACAGTCAGTTCCACAAAACTAGCATTATAAAATCAACAGAGAGTGGTGGAAGTGATTATTCAATATCAGCTGTCAAACCAATGTGAAACTACAATTGAAAGAAGTAAGTGCTTGCGTGCATGTGTGTTGGGTTGTGTCTGTGTCAGTGTGTGTCTGTGTCAGTGTGTGTCTGTGTCAATGTATGTCTGTGTCAGTGTGTGTCGGCATCAGTGTGTGTCTGTGTCAGTGTGTGTCTGTGTCAATGTATGTCTGTGCCACTATGTCTGTGTCAGTGTGTGTCGGTATCAGTGTGTGTCTGTGTCAGTGTGCGTCTGTGTCAATGTATGTCTGTGCCAGTATGTCTGTGTCAGTGTGTGTCGGTATCAGTGTGTGTCTGTGTCAGTGTGCGTCTGTGTCAATGTATGTCTGTGCCAGTATGTCTGTGTCAGTGTGTGTCTATCAGTGTTTGTGTGTGTGTGTCTGTGTCTGTGTTAGTGTGCGTCTGTGTCAATGTGTGTCTGTGTCAGCATGTGTCTGTGTCAGCATGTGTCAGTGTGTGTCTGTGTCTATTTCAGTGTGTGTGTCTGTCAGTGTGTGTCTGTATCAGTGTGTGTCTGTGTTAGTGTGTGTCTGTGTCAATGTGTGTCTTTGTCAGTGTGTGTCGGTATTAATGTGTGTCTGTGTCAGTGTGTGTCTGTGTCAATGTATGTCTGTGTCAGTGTGTATCTATCAGTGTTTGTGTGTGTGTGTGTGTGTCTGTGTTAGTGTGTGTCAGTGTCAATGTGTGTCTGTGTCAGCATGTGTCTGTGTCAGCGTGTGTCAGTGTGTGTATGTCAGCATGTGTCAGTGTCTATTTCAGTGTGTGTGTCTGTATTAGTGTGTGTCTGTGTCAGTGTGTGTCGGTATCAGTGTGTGTCTGTGTCAGTGTGTGTCTGTGTCAGTGTGTGTCTGTGTCTATATATGTCTGTGCCAGTATGTCTCTGTGTGTGTGTGTGTGTGTGTGCGTGTGCGTGCCTGTGTGTGTCTGTGTCAGTGTGTCTGTGTCTGCCTGTATCAGTGTGTCTGTGTCTGCCTGTATCAGTGTGTCTGTGTCTGACTATATCAGTGTGTGTCTGTGTCAGTGCCTGTGTGTGTCTGTGTCAGTGTGTGTCTGTGTCAGTGTGCATTTGTGTCATCATTGTGTCAGTGTGTTTCTGTGTCAGTGTGTGTCTGTGTCTGTCTGTGTCAGTGTGCATTTGTGTCATTGTGTCATTGTGTCAGTGTGTTTCTGTGTCAGTGTGTGTCTGTGTGTCTGTGTCAGTGTGCATTTGTGTCATTGTGTCAGTGTGTATCTGTGTCAGTGTGTGTCTGTGTCAGTGTGCATTTGTGTCATTGTGTCATTGTGTCAGTGTGTTTCTGTGTCAGTGTGTGTCTGTGTGTCTGTGTCAGTGTGCATTTGTGTCATTGTGTCAGTGTGTATCTGTCAGTGTGTGTCTGTGTCTGTGTGTGTCTGTGTGTTGTAGTGCTCGCCCACTGATGAGATACCATGTTTGCAGTTTACATGGATATCCCACTTAGACACAGTATTTGTATCAAAACCAGACAGTGCTTGTTTTACCCGCTTAATGCCGAGCAGCAGGTAGGGAAACAATCAAAATCTTTCCGTATGACACAGTAACTATGTGTACCCATGTGAGACATGTATGTGATGAACCAGTGAGAGACCAGTAACAGAAGTGAGATAGCAACTATGTGTACCTATGTGAGACATGTATGTGATGAACCAGTGAGAGACCAGTAACAGAAGTGAGATGGCAACTATGTGAGACATGTATGTTATGAACCAGTGAGAGACCAGTAACAGAAGTGATATGGCAACAATGTGTACCTATGTGAGACATGTATGTGATGGAACAGTGAGAGAACAGTAACAGAAGTGAGATGGCAACTATGTGTACCTATGTGTACCTATGTGTACCTATGTGAGACATGTATGTGATGAACCAGTGAGAGACCAGTAATGGAAGTGATATGGCAACTATGTGTACCTATGTGAGACATGTATGTGATGGACCAGTGAGAGACCAGTAACAGAAGTGAGATGGCAACTATGTGTACCTATGTGTACCTATGTGTACCTATGTGAGACATGTATGTGATGAACCAGTGAGAGACCAGTAATGGAAGTGATATGGCAACTATGTGTACCTATGTGAGACATGTATGTTATGAACCAGTGAGAGACCAGTAACAGAAGTGAGATGGCAACTATGTGTACCCATGTGAGACATGTATGTAATGGACCAGTGAGAGACCAGTAACGGAAGTGATATGGCAACAATGTGTACCTATGTGAGACATGTATGTTATGAACCAGTGAGAGACCAGTAACAGAAGTGAGATGGCAACTATGTGTACCCATGTGAGACATGTATGTAATGGACCAGTGAGAGACCAGTAACGGAAGTGATATGGCAACAATGTGTACCTATGTGAGACATGTATGTGATGAACCAGTGAGAGACCAGTAACAGAAGTGAGATGGCAACTATGTGTACCTATGTGTACCTATGTGTACCTATGTGAGACATGTATGTGATGAACCAGTGAGAGACCAGTAATGAAAGTGAGATGGCAACTATGTGTACGCATGTGAGACATGTATGTGATGAACCAGTGAGAGACCAGTAATGAAAGTGAGATGGCAACTATGTGTACGCATGTGAGACATGTATGTGATGAACCAGTGAGAGACCAGTAACAGAAGTGATATGGCAACTATGTGTACCTATGTGAGACATGTATGTGATGAACCAGTGAGAGACCAGTAATGGAAGTGATATTGCAACAATGTGTACCTATGTGAGACATGTATGTGATGAACCAGTGAGAGACCAGTAACAGAAGTGAGATGGCAACTATGTGTACCCATGTGAGACATGTATGTGATGAACCAGTGAGAGACCAGTAATGAAAGTGAGATGGCAACTATGTGTACGCATGTGAGACATGTATGTGATGAACCAGTGAGAGACCAGTAATGAAAGTGAGATGGCAACTATGTGTACGCATGTGAGACATGTATGTGATGAACCAGTGAGAACACCAGTAACGGAAGTGATATGGCAACAATGTGTACCTATGTGAGACATGTATGTGATGAACCAGTGAGAGACCAGTAACAGAAGTGAGATGGCAACTATGTGTACCCATGTGAGACATGTATGTGATGGACCAGTGAGAGACCAGTAACAGAAGTGAGATGGCAACTATGTGTACACATGTGAGACATGTATGTGATGAACCAGTGAGAGACCAGTAACAGAAGTGAGATTGCAACTATGTGTACCCATGTGAGACATGTATGTGATGAACCAGTGAGAGACCAGTAACAGAAGTGAGATGGCAACTATGTGTACCTATGTGTACCTATGTGAGACATGTATGTGATGAACCAGTGAGAGACCAGTAATGAAAGTGAGATGGCAACTATGTGTACGCATGTGAGACATGTATGTGATGAACCAGTGAGAGACCAGTAATGAAAGTGAGATGGCAACTATGTGTACCTATGTGAGACATGTATGTGATGAACCAGTGAGAGACCAGTAACAGAAGTGATATGGCAACAATGTGTACCTATGTGAGACATGTATGTGATGAACCAGTGAGAGACCAGTAACGGAAGTGATATGGCAACAATGTGTACCCATGTGAGACATGTATGTGATGAACCAGTGAGAGACCAGTAATGAAAGTGAGATGGCAACTATGTGTACGCATGTGAGACATGTATGTGATGAACCAGTGAGAGACCAGTAATGAAATTGAGATGGCAACTATGTGTACGCATGTGAGACATGTATGTGATGAACCAGTGAGAGACCAGTAACAGAAGTGATATGGCAACTATGTGTACCTATGTGAGACATGTATGTGATGAACCAGTGAGAGACCAGTAATGGAAGTGATATTGCAACAATGTGTACCTATGTGAGACATGTATGTGATGAACCAGTGAGAGACCAGTAACAGAAGTGAGATGGCAACTATGTGTACCCATGTGAGACATGTATGTGATGGACCAGTGAGAGACCAGTAACAGAAGTGAGATGGCAACTATGTGTACACATGTGAGACATGTATGTGATGAACCAGTGAGAGACCAGTAACAGAAGTGAGATTGCAACTATGTGTACCCATGTGAGACATGTATGTGATGAACCAGTGAGAGACCAGTAACAGAAGTGAGATGGCAACTATGTGTACCTATGTGTACCTATGTGTACCTATGTGAGACATGTATGTGATGAACCAGTGAGAGACTAGTAACGGAAGTGATATGGCAACTATGTGTACCCATGTGAGACATGTATGTGATGAACCAGTGAGAGACCAGTAACAGAAGTGATATGGCAACAATGTGTACCCATGTGTGACGCTATCCAAAGGAATAACAAAGTGCAAGAGTTGAATTATAGTATTTGCCAGCATAAGTTTACACACACATTCAAAAGACACATCATGTATTAGTGATTCATCCCAATGTTCTCAGTGGACAGAATTTCTGCCAGATATCCTCTTTAATCTCCAGCACTCATTCAGAGGCAGCTAATGATCAATATTCACTGTCTATCCCAACTGTGCCTACAGTCACAAGGTAACAGCTCATCAAATGCACTCAGAAACTTTCCCCACCATATCATCCCATGAGGTGACACTTCCTGAGCAAAACATCTCCAGGAGTCCTACCCCAGATGCACTCAACAAGATGCAACTGAACCAGTGCACACTTATTTCAATTGTGAATGATCCCTTCAACCACAGACTTCATACCCAAGAGCCTTGTCAGCTTTTGTCTGCAAATTTACCTGACATTGTCCATCACCAATATCGAAAAGCTAATCTCCTATATTGTCTGCTGGTCCAACACTGCATACATGACATGACATTTGAGAAATGTCAGAGAATTAATATGAAATAGAACCCAACAAAACATTGCAGAATATATCTACATCCTACAGAGGTACTCACATTAACACTGGCCTGAGCACCGTCTCGATGTAGCCATAGGAAGCCCGACACACCAGGTCCCGGAACACCGTCTCGGCTGCATAGGAGGGACTCTCCTCATCCCGAGGACTGTCTGCCCCCTGGCTCAACACACTGACAGGAGAAGGAGAACAACTCCATTACCAAAGTACAAATGATAATACCATGTTGGTAAACTATTACATATACGACATGTTTATATACTGAATGATAGCTTAACAAATGGTGAATTGTGTTAGATCAGTGGGAATATGGCTAACTTGTTCTATGCTCTCTGCAGATTCATGTTACTGAAACCTAAATATTCTTCTAACCTGCACAAACACAGATCAAGATAAAGTTTCAAGATCTGTTTGCGAAGATTCTGTCTCTTCTGACTGTGACATTTATACAAGTGCTGCTTTGTTTGATGTATTGAGATGTAAATTATCACTGCTGATAACTCAATTCAAAATGATAATATCTATATTAGCAGATGGTTAATTCTTAAAAAAACACAGAATTTAAAGCATGGTAATTTAAGAAGATTTTTTTTCAAGCTAGTCCTGCCACAGAACAGACAACGCTCTCAGACCATCCTAATTCATGCGTTACATTTTGTGGCACAGAAAATCAATATCAGCTGGCCCAAATAACAATTTAGGGCTCCAAATACCATCAGCTTTCTCGAGAATTGACAAAATTATGGCTTGTAGATCCAGTTAAACTTGTGATCGTTGAGAAGCTATACACCCCCAATGATGTCATACACTCACCTCCTCTCCTCCAAGTTGTACAGAAGTGAAGGTTACCATAGCTACACTCACCTTCTCTCCTCCAAGTTGTACAGCATAGAGGGTTACCATAGCTACACACTCACCTTCTCTCCTCCATGTTGTACAGCATAGAGGGTTACCATAGCTCCATTCACCTTCTTTCCTCCATGTTGTACAGCATAGAGGGTTACCATAGCTACACTCACCTTCTCTCCTCCATGTTGTACAGCGTAGAGGGTTACCATAGCTACACACTCACCTTCTCTCCTCCATGTTGTACAGCATAGAGGGTTACCATAGCTACACACTCACCTTCTCTCCTCCATGTTGTACAGCATAGAGGGTTACCATAGCTACACACTCACCTTCATGTTGTACAGCATAGAGGGTTACCATAGCTGCACTCACCTTCTCTCCTCCATGTTGTACAGCGTAGAGGGTTACCATAGCTACACTCACCTTCTCTCCTCCATGTTGTACAGCAGTGATGGTACTATCTTGTCCATGTGCACAGGATCCCAGATGTTGACCTGCAAGTCATCCGACACTGTCTTCCTCACCACACCCTGAAGTCCACTCAGACCTGCCTGTCGGATCCTACGACGACAGCAAAACACAGTCATCACATCTAACAACATTGTCACACCCGACTCAGACACCTACATTGGATGCAAGCCTCCAGGTAGCTCAAGGCATACAGGTGATCTCTCCAACTGTCTCAATAGGCCTTATTCCATACTCCGTTAGCACAACCATGAGTGATGCCTCCAACACACATATATATATTATATATACTTTGACACAAGCTATGACACACTATACCTGGCAGTGTCTAACACTGTCCAGGCTGCTAGTTGTGTCTCTGTATGTCTTAAGTTATTTTCATTATCTCCTGAGCCAGTGTTTCTCAGGCTGGTATTCCACAGAGGCTTAGATTATAGCTCAGCCAGCGGTCTGTGATGTGCAGCCAGCCATTAAGGAACAACTACCAAGTCACATCAAGAAGTGCTGAATTCCCCGCTGCTTGTTTCTGTCTGTGAATTATGTAACACTCATCCATCACTCCACAAGTGAATCCTTTGGAAAAATTGTCGAGGCTCACTACAAAGATTGGCATTGTCTCAAATTAGTTCCCTCTTGCTTTCTTGCTACATAGCTCTCAATATGATTCATTAGTTCCTATCAGTGGTAATTCAGACTCCTTCTAAGGTACAAGTGGGTCCAGGCAGGAGCTGAAAGGAGTTTGAAAATTGGTAATCGTAATCCACACATCAGATTGATGAGATATTAATGAGAGATCTAGAACCAGGAGATGCTTTTTATCTAAGCAGGAGAAACACTCATATTTCTAATGACTCCCAACATAGCGTTCCTATCTTAAAGACCTGGTGTGAGACTGCAAGACAGCTCTATCAACTTCACACTTTCTAAATGCTTCAGAAGAGGTAAGTGATTATAAATTTGTCGATATTGTTTTATTTCTTAAAACTACATATATCATCAAAATGCAAATACAAACAATATCTCTAACAAAATATTCCAAACACACATGAGACACTAGTTTCATACTCAGACCCATGGTTACAAACACAGAAAAGTGACTACTGTCAGCAAGTCAAGAGACATCCTGTCCAGGGCAGGGGACAATCCTCCCGACATATGTTATCAACTCTTTCCTATTAGCAATCATCAGGGAAGTAAAGCTATTCCAGTATCTTACAAAAATGTGTCACATACTTCAGGGAAACAAGATAACAACACAGCCATCCATGAAGCTTAATAGACTTCTTATCACATTGTCAGTGCATGTTTCCACTGAATCAAACGCTCAGTGGCATGTCACTGACAGCATGTTCAAGTACTAACACTGAATCACCACGACTAACAGGCAAACCACCCTGGACAACAGTCATGATGAAGAGATCACTGTAACGAATAGAAGTAGCATCTAGCTGTTGTGCATATCTATGGAATCACTCGTAACTAACAGAACCAAACATTTCATTCCTTTCCCTTCCAATGACTGCAGTGTAAAATGAATGTCCCTACAACACATATGTGATTACACATTTGTGCATGCTTTGATATGGTGATATGACTGGTGCAGTACTGGAGACTGCTTGCACCTGCCTTATGGTGTAGTGATCTAGTAGAGAGCCACCAGGAATCCATCAACTATGAGTCACACATCTCAACATGTCTTTGCAACAAAAAGGTAAAAGTAAACTCTGCTTCTGAGGCATTTCTCTTTAAAACAAGCTGATAAAGGCATCAAAGATCTACTCAAAACAGGAAAATCAATCATTTAAGAGCTTTCACACATTGTTAAATATCGTATATTACATGATTCTAACAAAAACTGTGTGGAGCTCAGGTCCATGTGGCTGTAGATACACTATACAGCCAGGTGATGTCCGATGGTGAGAGCACCCTTCCCTGTTATCAGGGTGTGATGTCACACTAATACAGCCAGGTGATGGCAGAATGAGTTTGACACCGCTTTGATCAATATTTCAGTCAGCCAAAAGAAGAAGAAAGCCAACATGAGATGATAGTACTGAACGTCTGGGTCTTGGACATCCATGGGCAAGGTGATGACTGACCAAGGATCATAATCAGGCATATCTGAGGCCAAACCCATGCGGAGGGACAGACATCTGTACAGGAAACTGTGGCGCCTAAAACTATTAGGCCACTAATCAGGCACTAATAAAACCAGGTTTCCGTTCCACAAAGCAATCTTATCATTCGCTTAGTTTCACAACTTTTATAAGACTATTTTAACGTATGGGAGTTATGTAACAAATGTTATATTTGGGATGACACTTTTTCTGTAAAGTACAGATTCTAGTACTTTTTTGGGTTGAGACACCCAGTGAGTGAGGCACAAAGTCAGCGATCTAACCCACTCTGCGACCGAGGCTACAACAAAAATGAAAGTCTGACAACTGGTAGTCTAGATCACATACTTTGTGTACCCCTCTGACAAGTGTAAATTGGTAGGGCTCCCATGACCAAAAGCTATGAATACACAATGTCATTTAGAAAGTGGTTAAATGTAACAAACGTTCTATTTGGGATAACACTTTCTTCATTAAGTACAGATTCTAGTACTTTTTTGAGTTGAGTCCCATGAGGTATTCAAAACCCACACTGCCAGTCCCACAAAAGAATACTGGAATCTGTACTTAACGTAGAAAGTTTTATCCAAAATATAACATTTGTTACATCTGACCACTTTCGGAATGGCATTGTGTATTCGGGATCACTTTGTGGAAACGGGCCCGAGTGATGAGAGAGATTGCGAGCATCTACTTTCATTTACTGTGACATTATGCTGACTAATACTAATATTTGTGTCATGATTAATCAAAACATATTGGTATTTCAATATGTGAGAGGCAATACACCTCAATGAACCAATTGCTTACATCATGTTTGTAAACATGGAACCACATTGCAACTTTTCATAAGTAACTTTTCTAATAACACAATTATAACACATCATGGCTTGTTATTCTGCAGCAGCTTTTCCATTTAAATATTTGCCTCATCTCTAGATCACCGTGTGTTTCCATGGCAACAAGAGTAAACCTGGCATCAGTGATTATTTCTTCTGGCCTGTGCAGATCTTCCAAAACTAGCCCACCAATTCATTATAGTAGGATGTTAATAATTAATGGTGCAGTGACAGCACACTAGACTAATCAAGCCAGCATCCACCTATTGGCCGACCCATATCACATCACATGGTTCTAGTTTTTTCTAGCTTTTATTGTTCACAAGAAAACTTATTATCAGTAAATATCATTAACAGTATCAATAGTCTACATTAACCAACAGAAAACAATTTTGGCATCTCACTTATTCTATGTTATCTTTCTCCATGCTGCCCACACTCAGTCAGCAGAGCTGTTTTCCTATACAAACCACTGTACAGACAGACACCTTGGCCTAATCAACATACTCCAATTTAGACACAATCACAGTCATTTAGTTTTCTTCTGGAATACAGATTTATCAACAAAAAATCAAGACTTACCGTCCTTGCTAAATCCTAAACCACAGTGCTGTTTCAAAAAGCACTGCAAAAGAAGTATTTCCCTTGAGAGAGTTCCTAACAGCCTTACCACCAGGCAGGTAAGTGAGACATGGGGATGGGGGACACACTACTCTTTGATGCAAGTTTTTGGTCTGATATGCCCTAAAGTACTTCACACAGAAACACCAGTCCTCTTCACATCCTTGCACTGCCTCTGCCTACAGAAACCCTCAAAGTCCAAATCAATCAATCAGTGCACAGACCACCGAGGACAACAGATCTTTCCTTCACATCATAATGGAGGCTTCTTACCATTACTATGGTTACATGACAGCCAGGAAAGTTGAGCTTGTCAGTGTTCAAAGTAAACCCTCCAGAAGGTAAGTTTATGTCCTGAGCGTGAGAAATATAAGGTCACAATGATGACAAACAAAACATAAATCAATATGATCATGATGATAAGGTCATAGTTGAGATGCTAATGACAAGTTTTATTATCAACTGCGCACCAACAGGAACTGCAGACCAACATAACAACTCATCAGTGTTGTCACATTGACAACGCCACTATGTGCAACTGTGTCATGTGTCTGCAAATGTCAATGTTCAATAGGCAGTAGCCATGATGTGAGTAAGGCAATGGGATTCACTGTAACATCAGGCACAAATACATTCAATCAGACCATGACATAACACACTAACACATCACACAACATACTGACAAATCACATCACACCAGCAACTGACACACTACATCAAACACTAAAACATCACACCACATACTGACACACCACACAGAACATTAACACATCACACCACATACTAACACACAACACCGCAATGCAACACAACACACACCACACTACACTGACATACCACACACTAACACAACACACCACACACTGACATACCACACCACACACTGACACAAAACACCACAAACTGACACACCACACCACACACTGACACACTGCACCACACCACACCACACACTGACACACACCACACATCAGATACACCAAACCACACACTGACACACACCAAACACTGACAACACCAGATACACCACACCACAAACTGACACACCACACCACACACCAGATACACCACACCACACACCAGATACACCACACCACACACTGACACACCACACCACACCACACCACACACCAAATATACCACACCACACACTGACACACACCACACACCAGATACACCACACCACACACTGACACACACCACACACCAGATACACCACACCACACACTGACACACCACACCACACCACACACCAGATACACCACACCACACACCAGATACACCTCACCACACACTGACACACCACACCAGATACACCACACCACACACTGACACACACCACACACCAGATACACCACACCACACACTGACACACCACACCAGATACACCACACCACACACTGACACACACCACACACCAGATACACCACACCACACACTGACACCCCACACCAGATACACCACACCACACACTGACACACCACACACAAGATATACCAAACCACACCACACACTG